TATTTCCCCTTTTCTCATCATAGTCTACATATTGCCAAATCTCACCTTCTGCCAATCTGTTAAGGCTTTTTACAAGCCGGGATCTCCACGGAAATTGGAATAGTATACCCGTAGGAAAACGTACAATTGCTTCTGAACTAACGAAAAATTTCGTTAGTGGATACATTTTCGATAGAAATTCGTACTCCAATTTAACCTCGGATGCATGTGCTATAAACACCGTTTTCCCACATTGCACCACATCCGATTCAATTTTACCCTGTAACTCGGAATATCCATATTTCTCACTGAATCCTTTCGGATAGTAAGAATATCTTGGATTGAAAAGGTTCAACTCTTTAAATGAAACCCCAACTTTTAATTTATCACTATCAGCTGTATAGCGGCCAAGAAAATCAAAACCCAATTTAAACAGAGCGAATAGAATCTCTGGAATAAAATGCCCCACGTTTGCTCTTATTGGTGATAGCAATCGGTAGCACTTATCTGACGCATTGGTCACATTAGACGTTGACCCCACTTGTACGGAGAAAATAAATTCTGAAAATTCATCCCAGGCAAACTTCCATTGCGACTCAGCTTTGGATAAGTTTAAACTTTTAATTTGATTTAACCCCCCCCTTTTCAGCCTCTAATCGTAAGTATTTTATGGCATCATCAAATGGACTTGCGCACCTCAGATCGTCAAAATACTCTGGGTGAGCCAATCTCCGTGGAGAATTTAGGTCTGAAATCATAATTCCATTATAACCGTTTGTCAAGATTACGGACATGATGCTCCATATTCCGAAACAGATGCGGAAGAAGGCTGCCTTTTCTATCTTACTAGGCATAAAGCCCGACTCTTCGAAGAGGGAGGCTAGAACGAATAACCATGCGGAGAAATGCTGTCTATCCTCCCGACTAAGAAAATGAACAACGGTTGTCGCTAATGCGATAATTGTGGCCAGCGTAAAGCCCAAAACTATCCAAAGTTCGGTTTGATACGGGGACAAATAAAAAGCGAACGTGATATATGGTTGGGAGTAGCAAGTTAGAAACTGATAACCCTCATTTCCAGTGACAATGAGGGCTACATCAATAACTGGGGGTTCTCTGTCTGCTTGGTAGTGTGGCCGGACTTCCGTATCCAGGTTGCAATAATTACTTTCTCTATAACTAATATTCCCTTTTGCGAACACATCTTGATACAAAGTTTGAATAGTTTTGTAAAGTGTTCTATCGTAACCACTTCTACTGTCAATTGCTTCTTTTGTCTCCTTCAGCGATACCCTGACACACCATTCTTCCCGCGGCATACCTAATATGGTCATAGTGGAAACGTAGTCACCATTTATTAAGTATGCTTTAGAGTTTAGCCCCATTGAATATTCCGCCTTCGAAGTAGGCAAGTGGATATGGCGAGAAAAACAAATCTCTAACTTTTTGCCAACGAAAACCGTAGCAAAAATGAAGTACAGGGGGCGAATGTATGTCGAATGGCATTAGTCTGGTAGCAATTTCAACTTGTCTGTTATAACGGTTATTACTGCATTGGTAGTGGGTACGAATATGTGATTGTATCTCCTTTGTATCCCGACATAATAAAGATAATAATCTGATGCTATTATTTTCCAGTGTATTGCGCGAGTCCATGCTGCATGAGGGGACACATCACCTCGTTGGCTGTATAAAATAAAAGTTAGTCTACACTGGGGAAAACGGTTCTTAAAAATGTTCAATGCCACAGGCACGTCAGCATATATGATACTAAAGAATTCTGGGTAATTGTACTTTGGTAGGGAAGTAATTGTCGCGACGAGATTCAAATTGGGAAAACTTAATTGCCTATGGAATTTTCCCGTATCAATTATCCGTACGTCACATTCATTTGGGATAACGAGGAAGTCGCGCAGATTGGATAATCCGCTAGGTTTGGGGGACAGACCTGCTTCGATTATTAGAATGTGAGATAATAAGATGCGAAGCGATGAGATCGACATTTTAGCTCCAAGAATTTCAATTATCGATAAGAATTTATATGCCATAGATTTGAATTACTGATTACTCTTGCAACAAATAAGTAGTTTCAGTTTATACCACTTCGATGTATGTTACCCAAATTCTAAAGGTCTTAAGGCTGCAGTAAATGTAAGTCTACGAAATTTGGCTCTGTCTGTTAATGATGTAGGTTTCGGTAAGGAGCGAAACGCTCAAACATACGATATCGAGTTCTCACAATGGGTAAGCTAGTCCATTTCGCAACTACATATGTATGTTGAAAACTGTTAAAAAGTCTGCTGGTTCAATTTGATTATTTAAGCGGCTTTAATATCTATATTATAATTCAGAATGTCTGTTTGTTACGGAAGTGAAAGCAATTTTCCGGAACTGAAAGTTCAGAAAGTTAAAAAAACCAAATGTGGATAAATAGGGGAAAGTCGATAAGTTTGTTGAGCATGTTTTGCTCGTTAGGTCATCATGAAGGGATCTCACGGGATCTTGTCCACGTGGGTTATCCTGGCGAATTCGGGAACATGTGCCCCGAACTATTAGTTTGCTGTTAGCTCTGTATGCCAGAAAAGGGAAAGGGGTGCTATATACTTGATGGGTTATTCAGTTACACTCCCGTTGTTGTCTCCTTCTCAAAGTCTACATATCATGTATATAACAATAAGTATGTGGATTTGACCCTCGAACATTCTGCCTGAGTTGAATGCAGGGAATTATTTTCTGAATAGTTCTGAATCTCCGTTGAAGCTACAACTTATCAACGTTAAACATTTAAAAACCTGCAAGGGAACTAAAACCAATCTTGAAAGTGCTTATATTCAATTTAATCTGAAAGCAATCGCGTTGCTGTTTAGCTTACACACTTAATCCCTCAACTAGTTGGGTAAAATTAATAAATATTTAATTCGTGAAGCTTCGCAAACACTCAAATGGCTTTGATAACAGCAGGACAAAAGTTATGAAATTTAGACGCTACGTGGTAAATATAATAGTACGTATATAAAAATTCAATGAAATCCAAATTTACTTTTTCGTATCATTTTGCCAGTAAATACTTGTATAAAATTTGCAGTTTGCGGATTTTTCCTGCTGAACCAAGAGACAAACACTTCTGTATTACAATGATTTAATGTTAGGTTAATCGAATATTAACGTTAAGTTACCCCTATTGTCGAATATGAATACATGCACAACTATATTTGCAAGATTTTTTGTTGCCTTACATTAAGTTAATTAATTCCGAGATGACAAAATTTTCGTGACATTCGAACATTTCGTAGATTGGCAAAAGCTTTAAAAGTAGGAAAACATGTTAAATAACCATTTATGTAAATATGTTTGCCCGCACGAAACAAGGTTTCATAAAAACCTTAATCATATTTAATACTTTAGTCTGCTTTCAAGCTCTACATGACAATTCTAGTTTCGTTAAAAAATGCCAACAGTATTCATTAAATAAAAAACTATTAAGGCTTCAATATGAAATCTACATGATCCCTCGATTTGGAGTACAGTTTGTATATCGTCGTACTAATAAAGAAATGAGTTAAGTGCAGTCGATGCTTAATAAAGAAATAAGTTAAGTGCAGTCGATGCTTAATGCAGAAAACAGTTAAGTGCACAGAAAAAACGATGAAAAACAGCTAAGTGTACACATATATTTAGTTATGGATCGCAGTATTTAGTAAATATTATGCATAACTAAATGCATGTGTGCACTTAGCTGTTTTTTATCGTCTTTTCTGTGCACTTAACTGTTTTCTGCATTAAGTATCGACTGCACTTAACTTATTTCTTTATTAAGCATCGACTGCACTTAACTTATTTCTTTATTAAGCATCGACTGCACTTAACTTATTTCTTTATTAAGCATCGACTGCACTTAACTTATTTCTTTATTAGTACGACGATATGTAAGTTATTAAATACTAGTCCGTCAGACTATTAAAACTCAGCAAAATGTCAGATTGACCTGATGTGTTTGAAACTTTTGTCATTCGACCTCATGACTTATCAATAGACACAATTTGTACCTCAATTTATTTCGTCAAAACTTTTGTCAATATTTTTGTCAAAATAAGGGAGGCAAAATTTGTCAAGATTTATTCGGCTTCGGAGTGAATGAATGAATGAAAGAGTCACACTGGGGTTTTATAAGGGAGGATGGAAACCGTTTTCTGTGCAGAAAGGGAGTCCGCCATAACGACAAACAACAACGCAAATTAAGTATTTGCGAATTTTGAAAGAAATGTTTCAAATTTTTGCTTTAGTTTTTTGTCAAAATTTTTGTCATTCGACTCCATAAACAATCTCCAGACTAAAGTTTTACCTCAATTTTTTGTCAAAACTTTTGTCAAAATTTTTGCCAAAATGGGGGAGACCAAATTTTTCCTTTAATTTTTTTGTCAAAACTTTTGTCAAATTTAGTTTGCTTCGGAGTGAATGAATGAATGAAAGAGTCACACTGGGTAATTATAAGGGAGATTTGTGACTTTAGACTTTAGATACATAACAGAACGAATATGACATCATGTTCAACATTTTACGATTTGCAAAAGGTACAAAATTCACGCAACGCATACCAACGTCATCAAGTAAAATATCCATATTTAAATTCTTTTTCGTATAACTCGAAAAAATCTCGCTCAAATCCCAATATTTCTTGATTATGTTAAACCATTCAAAAATTTCATGCCTCTTCATAATGCCTGCTTTAATAAAAACATAACGAAGTTATTTGAAAGCAAGTTATTTGAAAGGAAATATTTATATGTATGTATGGTGGAATATGTGTAATTATTTTCATTATAATTATTCATAATTATAAATGATTTATTAACTTATTTTATATTAAGTATAACCCAGATTATTATATAATTACTTTTTAATGTCATTCATTATCAGTTCATTAATTTTATCGTTTACCTGCTGAAAATGAGCCTCATCTCCGTACATATTCTATCAGATAGTCCAAAAGCGAAGGAGAGGATAAAAAAGGGAAAGGCACACTGGTGCCTTGTATGGATTTCATAGTGTTGATTTGGGCCAGGGACATGGAAAACAGGTTTTGCATCCTTTCTTCCATTATGAAGGATACTTCTACAAAGCTGAAATTGGGGGTACCCTTCCTCTTAACATCCTACCCAAGTCTGTACTTGTATATTTTCAACTGGGTTCATTTAATCTGTCGTATTTACAATCTCACCCGTGTATTTAAGGGTAGTTGATTTTACCAAATTCCTTTGTATATATGTACCATCCACCATTTTTGTTCTCACAGGTTTCACAAATGTTTCATCTTAGACGAGTGATCTTAAAACAAAATTTAATTAATTAATAAATCAAATTTTATGAAAACGTGAACAGTGTAAAACTTGTGAACTATTCTGGAAGGTAAATCACTATAAAATTTCATCTTAAAATTTAGTTACAGCATAAAGGGTGGGCGAGCTAAACCTGAGATACTTTGGCAATGAAATTTCAAAACGTAATTACTTCACAAATACTAGACGCACCGCAATGAAATTTTTATCCCTAATTCTTTAATACGTTGTGAGCATTTTATTGGTATTTAGCATTTAATTAATTCAACTGGGGAGTTATCCTGACTGACGTTTCAGCTGCCGGACAAGAATTGATTTTTATTATTTTTGAAATACTGAAGCCAATTAATGTATCCCGGGAGATATCAAACATTAAGTCACGGATTCTATTAGAAAACACTGCCAGTTTTACACAGCCTTTCGATCTAAATGAATTTCTGGCCATAACCAATTTTTTCGGACCTCACAACCTGACACTACTAAAAACACAGTAACTAGTGTTCGTGCTGGAAGTGGCGTCCACTTTCAAAATTGATTTTTTTCTTCATGCTTGAAATAAAGTAGGGTCCATTAGGTGTCAGATACTGTAGGGACGAATAATGTCATTGCGGTAATACTAAGTTTGAACAGTAAGTTTCTATAACGCTCAATAGTGTAGCATATAGCGGACAAATCCAAGTATACCTAAATTTTGCACCCATGTATCCGTGAATCTGTTTCTGGTACAATTCTCGTTTTGGCTGTGTAGAACCTTCTATGTTATGGGCTTCTAAAACCGTTCAACTTAATTCACGGTTTTACCGTGCACTGACTTTGCGGCCATTATATTGAAACTACACAAAATGCACAAAATTGAGCCTTCCCAAGCCCTTATTGTAGATCATATCCGATTCCTCAAGTACTTCTGGCTACGTATTACTTCGTTGGGATGTATGGGACGTAATTACTGCCAAAGGTAGCATTTTGCACAAACCTTTACAGAACTGGGGCCATTAGTCTTACTTTGGGCACGGTTCCGCTTTAGCCAGTTTTGGTTTGTTGCCGGTTTTTATGTAGACCGAATTTTTCAAATTTGAATTGCCTTTGCTATTAGTGATCCAGATGTGATGTGCAGCATAGGTCGTTATTATGGACTTCATTTCTTCACTACTATAGGCGTATTGGCCCATGTTGAAAGGGTGCTCCTGGACACCCTTTTTTGGAAAAAGTTCGACGATAGACGAGTTTAAAAAATTTCATTCAATATTGAGGACTTGCATGTTGTCTGCTAGGCAGTGTAGAATATAAATCAAAAATTTCATCAACGTACGTCCAACAGTTGTAAAGTTATTGCATTTTAAAGTTTCTCGGAATGGTGTCTCAGTTCTGGCTCGCCCACCCTTTACATGACTTGCTCTTATGTTGTGAGGATAAAGCTTCTTATTTTATATTAATTGTAGACCGGATATTCAAATTTAATTGGTATGTGTTTATTACGTTACGCGATCCGGCAAATTATTTAAATTTTCAATCCACTGAAAATAATCTGGCTATAATAACACGGCTATTACCGGGGGTAATTACATCTGACTTTACCACATAGATAGTAATATATTTGTTACGGAATTAGAGTAATATCCAACCACTAGGCAATAGCCCGTGTAGATATTTACTACCCGCCGTAGCCAATTAATTACTATGTGGTAGAATCATATATGTATAGTCACCGCTGGTAATAGCCCCCATTACCAATTTATTGTGAGAGTACCTCCGCAAATAATAAATGATGTTTTTTTCATTACGTATATGAAGATATTTTAAATCGTAGTAATGGAATCCGCCCCCTCCAACAATCTAAAGATATGCACCCACTGCTCAAAAGTGTTCAAAACGAACCATGGCCTTTCTCGGTATGCCGTCACACATGATGATAATGCGCAAGTTGACTGTGAGGTATGGTTGACTCATAAACCTAATTATAATTACTATTAAGAAAATCACAATGTAAAAGTAATAATTTCTGGAATTTGTCAAGGTTTGCGGGAAAACATTCAAAAATTATATAGTACTTTCTCAACATGTCAATGTCATTCACGGCAAAAAAATAAGGCCACGGTTTCCCTGTTCGATGTCAGGGTGTTCCAAAACATTTAGTACGCCAGCAGGTGTGAAAAACCACTATAATTTGGAACATGTCAGTGATCCGGTCCGATTTCAATGCACGCTTTGTGACAAGAAATTCAAGGCAAAGCCCAATCTCGAGTATCATATTGCGAGCCACACGACAGAAAAAGGCTACAAATGTCTCATTTGTGAGAAACGCTTCGCCCGTCCAAATTATATTAAACAGCATATGGTAAGACAATTAAAAAAATTAACAATTTAATTCAATACAAAAACCCTGCCCATTTGTTCATGGTAGAAATTTTATAATTAGACTGTTTTTTAGAAAGCACGTAATACAGAAAACGGTCTAATTATAAAATTCAGACCGTAGATATTAAGGAGTGGGATTTTTGTGTCATGCTCTCAATAATTGAGTGAAAATTAGATGGTCTGTACATGACAATTGGAAAGCTTTTAGAATATCGTCTTAGAGTTGCCGGTGAGATAAGATGATCTCATTTACAAGTGAGATGAGACGAGATGAGATAAGACCAGATGAGATGGCCGCTAAATGAGATGAGACGTATCTATGATGAGTTGAGATGTGAGACGGTAAAATGAGATGTGAGAACTTGAGATGAGATGAGTTGATGTGTGATGAGATCTATTAGTTCTTATGTGTCTCATCTCATCTCATCTCAAGTTAAATGAGATGAGATGAGATTGAATTTTGAGTATCACGTGGTAGTGAGATGAGATGGGGTCTATCTCACCGCATCTCGTCTTACCGGCAGCTCTATATCGTCCTTTATAAAAAACGGTCTAATTATAAAATACATACTATAGCTCTTTATGATTAAAATTAATCACTTTTGTTTTTTCCAGGAACTCCATCAAGATAATTCTGACCGCAATGTTTTCAAATGTCACATATGTTCAAGGTCGTACATGTCCGCATCTGGAATCTCGTATCATATCCGCACTCACAATAAACCTGGGGTTGAGTATCATTGCACCATTTGCGACAAGAGACTCAAAACTTATAGCGGTTTAAGGTATCACATGATCGCAAAACATGAAGAGAAAAAGAGACCCACTTTGTCATGTGAGAAGTGCGAATATAAGACATGGGTAAAATCAAAACTTACCACACATTTCAAACGGATGCACGAAAATGAGAAGAGGCACCAATGTTATTTCTGTTCAAAGAAATTCTTTGCTTTGAAGGATTTGGTTGGCCATTGTAATAGGATACATACTTTAGAAAAATAAGAAGCGATATAATTGGTTTCCTAGAAAATTCCTACAACTATCTAATACCAGGGCCGTGTATGCTTGCAGGCCATAAATAAGTAAGTAACACACGTGGTACTAAACGTGATCGGACTTTATAAAATACGCCAAGAACACAAAACCTACAGTGCAGCTTTGCTTAGCCCGAGCCAGGGTGGGTACAACTAGAATTTGTTTACCAATCTTTACGCCAAAATTCAGCTTAATTGAGTGATTTTGCAAAATCAGTATGGGTCACCCCACCGGGTTCCTCTGGGTCAAAATTTTCAAAATTGTACATCATAAACTCCCATTATAAGCTGCTATCGACTTCCATACCAAATTTCAGCTTAATTGGACGATTTTGAAAAATCAGTTTGAGTGACCCCATAGGGTCCCTCCAGATAAAAATTTTCGCAAATTCACTTCATATCTTTTCATTAGAAGCCATTAGTTACATATTTACCAAATTTCAGCTTTCTACAACAATTTTGAAAATTTGATGCATAATAACCCCACCACCCATATGGCCCCCACCGGCCAACCACTTGACCGATTCGGCTCATCTTCGAACTTGATTTGTCTTTTGGGTAGATATAGATGTGGTAAAAATTTCAAGTCGATCGGTTGAGTTTGAAGAGAGTTATCGCGAAGACAGACGGACGGACGGACAGACAGACAGACATAACGGGTACATAAGCCCTGGCTCGGGCTAAAAATTACCTTAAATACGATGTCTGTGAATATGTCTGTGAATAAACTAAATAATTGCAAAGATTTGACTTAAAATATATTCAAATCGTCGTCAGATTTATTTATTACACTGGAACCATTACCGTGGAAATGATGGTGAATTATGGCGTTTGACAATATTATGTATTACCATTGCATATTTTCGGCACTCCTGCAATTAACAAAGTTGCCGCAACTATTCGTATATATCTTATTATATAGTAACAAATCATACAAAGTAATCTTTTTGTACGCTGTAGAATATTTTCCAACAGTGATATCAGTCGTGGTTTATTCGACAACTGTTCAAGTGACGGTTCAGATGGGATTTTTGGTAAGTTTTATAGCCACAAAATTGGCAGCAATGTTTAGGCAATACTGTAGGATCGTGATGAATTTTTACGTGAAGGGTGAGACCATTTTTGTCCTTGTAAGTCCGAGAACACACTTTGCATGGGAACATTGGTTGTGAAGATTTCTCTTTGTGCGTCCTCTGCAAAGTAAATTAAACCTTCCTCAGAACAAAGAAATCCAATAAAGTCCTTGAATTGGTTTATTTATATGTAATGGTCTCTTAGAAATTAGGTTACGATTATTGGCAGTGTATTGACGTACAAAGGCGAATATTACGCTAAGGCTATAAATTTGTTAATCACCTGTTGTAAACTTGTTATAGGCAGATAATGACCACCATAAAAATAAAATAATGACCAGTTGGTAACAAATATATAACCGTTCTCATATAACCAGGCTCATATGCATCTAAGCCTGCATATTGTTGTAACTATCATGTGTTTTCTAGGATTGTAAATTCTCAACTTACCCCATGCCTGATTAGACCGCTCAAACCTGCCAACCTCCTTCCACATGTGGTACACTTGTATGCTTTTTCCGTCGTATGAGTGGCAATGTGTGAGTTCAAACAGGTCCTATTTTTGAATTCCTTGTCGCACAGGGTACACCCAAATCGGACGGGATTCTCGGTATGCTCCATTTTAACGTGGTTGGTTAGACTACTCTTCTTGGAAAATATTTTACCGCATCCAGTAAAACTGCATGGACACTCTTCCCGTTCCGTCGTATGAGTGACGATGTGATTCTCTAATTCTCCTTTAGATTTAAATTTCCTTCTACAAAAGTAACATTCGAATAACCTGCAATCTGGATCGTGTCTCATTTTCAAATGAGTCGATAAGTTGCCTCTATACTGGGTTTTAAATTGGCACAAATTACACGAATATTTTTTCAAGGTGGAATGGTAATACTTAATATGGTTCCTATAACTATCCTTAGTTAAAAATGTTCGGGGACACTCTTGGCATGTAAACCTTGTTGGGTCATAATTGTCCAAGTGGGTGGCCTATTTACGTGGGAAGAAAAGCAATTTGAGGATTGATAAAAAATTAAGTTTATAAATTTTTAATCTTAATTTTCAAATCTCCATGTTACCTCGTGACGATCGAGGTAGCTTTTTGTATGGTAAGTCCTCCCACATATCGAACACTTGAAGGGTTTTTCTTTCGTGTGCGTGCCAATGTGCTGACTTAAGATTCCCTTAAGGTTAAATTCCTTGCCGCAAATTGCGCAAGGAAACTTAACATAATTTTTGTCGTGTTCTATTTTAAAATGGCTTGCGAGGCCAGTCTTACAAAGAAATGTTTTGTTGCATTCATCAAATCCACATGGAATCCTTTCTCGTGGACTAGCGCTATGGACGAATTTTAAATGACGTCGCAAGTTAGGGAGCGAACAAAACCTTTTCTCACAAATGTTGCAATTTATATCTTCTTCTTGGTTTCTATGCACGTTGGAAAGATGTCCAGGCAGGAATAATTTTCTCAAAAGTTTCCCACAGATCTGTAAAGTTAGAAAACTTATTAAGCATTGCGTACAATTTAAATGAATGGAAGAATTATGTAAAATGTCAGTGGATTATTTTTGAATAACATACCTCACATTTTACTTGTCCGTCGGGATCGTGAATGACGACATGACGATTTCGATGATCCTTGGTAGTAAATTTCTTTGAGCAGTGAGGGCAATCCCACTTCCTTATTTTACTTGATTCCATTTTAAATATTTTAACCGTGGGTGCGAGTACAGTATTTTCGTTTTATGTATGTACGTTCACTATGAATGTTGCGAGGCCGCTCTAACAATCTAGAAAATTTGTTTGAACTAACCTCCTGAAGATTTTTATTTTGGAATTATCATACCCTAACACTTGTAAATAGGTGTGGTAAGAAAACTGTAAAACAAAGCTCACGCTAAACTAAAGTTACGATTTATCACAAATTAAAATTGTTTTCTAAATTACACATATTTAACTATAGTTAGTGGACGCTGATTTCGTGCCAGATCCTCGACTATGAGTGGAGGGCTGGATTAGTCCACCGAGTAAATAAAGTATTTATAGAAAGGGTCATAACTTAGAAAGTCATTTCTTCGTAAAATCAGTACGGCTATCTATGTATCTCTAAAAATATATATATGTATATGGGAGCGACTGAACCTAAACTATACAACATAAATAAATACTCTCGGGCTTTTAGTGTGAGCCCGACTTTAAGACAACATTATTCTATCCATACATATTTTATGGTATGGTCTGTGTAAAATTAATAGGCCGTTTTTTTGACTTTTTGGGATTACTGAAATCGCTGATACGTAATGCTTAATGCAAATTTTTAGGTTTCCAAAACCGTTTCAATTTTTGAAATCCCTCACAAACTCACCGATCAGTGCTAATTTGAAATTTTTGTTTTTAAGAAAAAACGGCCTATTAATTTTACAGAGACTATAGGAATATGTTTCCAATATTTAACGCAAGGCAGGACCAAGGAATCTCCATTGTTGCAATTCTTAAACGGTACGTATGTTGCCTTACTTATAAAAATTCTCACAGGCACAACTTTGTAAGTACTAACCGTTGCCAGAGTTAGTTATATGTGTAAATTAAAAATTACATGGAGAATGTATTAATAAGTAAGTATTAATCTTCAACGTTTACTACAGATTGTCTTCAGTTGACAATTGGTGGAAAGTACAACAAATTTTATTTCCTAGCAAGACTGTACAAATGTAGGAATCCTACATTTGTGCAGTCTTGCTTAATTCAAAAAATTAAATCCTTCGCTAGCATTTAAAGATTTGTAATGTTTCCTTAAATATAATCCCACTCCTCTAAATTTGTCTGTAGTTCTGTTCCCTTGATATACTCAAAAAATTATGGAGCATCGTGCAGGTACAAGTCGTAACGCCTACGTATACAAAGTTTCCAAGAGATTCCAATTTTTAAAATCGGTCAACAAATAAGGCAACCGTGAGAATTTTAATATTTACTTTTCGGAAGAAAAGTTTAATAAAGATATTATTTACAAATATGGAAATTATTTAACTTTACTAGTAAAAAACCAACTTAACCCACTTATGAACTAATCAATTGCAAATATTTTCCAATAAACTGGTACCTAAACCTGTTAAAAAATCTTACATACTATTTTTTTCCCAGGAAGAAAATTCCTATTCTACTTGACAATTATTTTTCCGTCTCAAGTGACGGTTTAGATGAGATTTTTGGTATGTCGTATAGGTGCAAAATTGGCAACAATATTTAGCTGATGCAGAACCGTGATAACTATTGACGTGAGACATAAGACTGGATTTGTCCAGATAAGTCCGAGGACATTCTTGACATTGGAAGATTGGCTGATTCGACGATTTTCCTTGGTGCGTCCACTACAATTTAAATTTTAGCAAGATAAAATATATTTAATAAAGTCCTTTAATGAGATAAATGAAAAAAAACACTCTTAAAAATACGTTTTGACTAAAAAATATAAATGTTGATCTATTACTCAATCACCAAGGTCGTCCATTTCTTACCAACAGGTTACATTTACAACTAGCGGGCAAAAACATTTTCAAAACCTTATAGCCAATTTCTAACCATGCCAATTGAGTCAAATATCTACGATCGTCTGAAGTTTAGTTATTATTGAAGTACAATTTCTAAGAGTGTCCACTTTCCGCTTACCAAATGTCTTTTAAGAACCGTCAGATCTATAAAGCTCTTCCCGCATGTGTCACACTTATTGCTTCTCTCCTTCGTATGAACGGCAATATGGGTGTACAAAATTTTTCTCGATTTGAATTCCTTGCCGCACAGGGTACACCCAAAAAGCTCAGGGTTTTCAGAATGGTCCATCTTAACGTGCCTGTGCAGATTGCCTTTTCTTGTAAATGTTTTACCACATCCAGCGTAGCTGCAGGAGGCAGGTTCTTGTTCCATCGTATGAGCAGCGATGTGAAGCTCTAGGCCTGCCTTAGTTGTTAGTTTCCTTTTACAAAAATAACATTCAAAGAACTTCGATCCTTGGCTGTGCGTCCCTTTCAAGTGTTTTGGTATGCCGGTCCTATGCCGGGTTTTAAAGGGGCACAAATGACACGAGTATTTTTTTATGGTGGAATGATAATCCTTCCAATGGGCGAAGAAGCCATCCTTGGAGAGAAATGTCCGAGGACACTTTTCACATGTAAACCTTGTTCGGATAGAATTAGGCGCAGAAGACGGATTCCTTTTGTTGGTAATTTCAGTACCTCCAAACCAGCCCTGGATAAGCATCAGCTCAAGTTTGTCCAAAGTGGAGAAAACCTATGGTTTGTGAATTTTGGTCGTTAGTGCCCTTTTAGTAGAGTGATGGCAGACTTCTTCAAAATAGGGAAACCTTACCCACGGATTCATATAATTTGGGTTGAGATTGGCTGGGAGTGTCCCACATTTCCTAAGTCGAACTATCGCATGGCCTCCGTATGTTGAAACCCTCTGTTTCTGGGCAATTGATTGGTCAAAATAAGTAACAACTTTCTGGGGTCTTCGCTCGTCATTTCAAACCCATTCAACTGATGGGGCTGGTAGATGGCGTATTTTGTGGGTAATTTCAGTGCCTAAAAACAAGCCCTGTTTCAGCTTCAGCTCAAGTTCGTCCAAAGTGGAGAAAACCTATGGTTTGCGAATTTTGGTCTGTGGTGCCCTTGTGCAGTTTAGTTCAAAACGTTAGTGCGCCGAGGGCTACAGACTTATTTGAGGGCTTTTCCGAAAACTGTGAGTGTGCCCGTAATTCGAGGACTGAGTGCCGGTATTTAGACGAGCCACCGGTCAAAAACACAAAAATACTTGAATTTTCGTCCAAATTTGAACATTCGTAAAGTCACCTGGTAGTGACTCACGCGTTCCTATGAATAAGCCGAGGTAACTGACGCGTTGGTTTAGTTTTGGTTGTAGACGGATGTAATTTGCCCACATTTGCTTAAAATATTCCAGCGTAGTGGATGGCTTCGTTGTTTTTGTGCTGCTTAGCCACTGGTTGCTGGCCAACGTTTTTCGTCAAAATTAATTCAGGTAATCGTACTCGTCATTTCAATATCTTTCAGCCGATTTGGCTCGCAGATGGCGCATTTTGTTGGTAATTTCAGTACCTCCAAACCAGCCCTGGATAAGCATCAGCTCAAGTTTGTCCAAAGTGGAGAAAACCTATGGTTTGTGAATTTTGGTCTGTGGTGCCCTTGTGCAGTTTAGTTCAAAACGTTAGTGCGCCGAGGGCTACAGACTTATTTGAGGGCTTTTCCGAAAACTGTGAGTGTGCCCGTAATTCGAGGACTGAGTGCCGGTATTTAGACGAGCCACCGGTCAAAAACACAAAAATACTTGAATTTTCGTCCAAATTTGAACATTCGTAAAGTCACCTGGTAGTGACTCACGCGTTCCTATGAATAAGCCGAGGTAACTGACGCGTTGGTTTAGTTTTGGTTGTAGACGGATGTAATTTGCCCACATTTGCTTAAAATATTCCAGCGTAGTGGATGGCTTCGTTGTTTTTGTGCTGCTTAGCCACTGGTTGCTGGCCAACGTTTTTCGTCAAAATTAATTCAGGTAATCGTACTCGTCATTTCAATATCTTTCAGCCGATTTGGCTCGCAGATGGCGCATTTTGTTGGTAATTTCAGTACCACCAAACAAGCCCTGGATAAGCATCAGCTCAAGTTTGTCCAAAGTGGAGAAAACCTATGGTTTGTGAATTTTGGTCGTTAGTGCCCTTTTAGTAGAGTGATGGCCGACTTCTTCAAAATAGGGAAACCTTACCCACGGATTCGTCTAATTTGGGTTGAGATTGGCTGGGAGTGTCCCACATTTCCTAAGTCGAACTATCGCATGGCTTCCGTTTACTTATGTTGAAACCCTCTGCTTCTGGGCAATTGATTGGTCAAAATAAGTAACAACTTTCTGGGTAAGTAACAACGTGTTTTGTGGGTAATTTAAGTACCTAGTCTTAGCATGGGCCATGCTAAGACTTATGGCCCATGCTAAGACTTATGGCCCATGCTAAGACTTATGGCCCATGCTAAGACTTATGGCCCATGCTAAGACTTATGGCCCATGCTAAGACTTATGGCCCATGCTAAGACTTATGGCCCATGCTAAGACTTATGGCCCATGCTAAGACTTATGGCCCATGCTAAGACTTATGGCCCATGCTAAGACTTATGGCCCATGCTAAGACTTATGGCCCATGCTAAGACTTATGGATCTGCAAATTGTCGTAATAATAAGGCAACTTTCCAAAAGTTAAATATGACGTTAAATCCACACATACGTAAAACAACACTGCTGGCTTGCTTTAAGAACGATTGAAAAATCGTTTTGGTTTTTAATGTTAGATTCATTTAAAAAAAATTCGCCAAACCATTGAAACAATTCGCGCAGGTCCCTGATAACTTTGTAAAACTTGTAAAATCCGTAAACTCACAAACTCTTATGAACTGTTACAAAATTTCCCAGTGAAAATTAGCTTTCAAATGTTTGTAAACTTACTCAGCTCAACGGAGTCTCTTTATTTTGTAAATTATAAAATAATTTTACATAAATTTGATTTTACCAAGTTAGCAATGACTACGCGAATTCCTCTCAGCTTGTCGAGTTAAACTGATTTAGGCTGTAAAAACTAATTGTTTGGTAAAATTGTAATTTTGGAGATTTGGACAAATTTAACGATTTGTCAATATTTATTCTTCATCAAATTAGTTCGTCATTTTTTGGGTATAATTCCTTCAATGCACAGAATGTATCTGAGATTTATCAGAGTAAATTAAATTTTCAAACAAAATTCAATATGACTTTTGAATTTGTCAATCAGTCACTTTTTCACTTGTATCTTTGTAACAATTAAATTGTGCAAATTTTATAAAATCGGGAGATATAATTTTCGAATTGTGTAAATTTTAAGTAATATCCAATTACAGGGAAATTTTCTGCTAGTAATTAAGTATAGTTTTCAAGCTACAAATTATTAAAATTATTAACAAAATAGTTTTCCAATAAATTATAATTAGCCATTTCATGTAAGTGTTGGCAATTTTGTAAAAGATTGACAGACAATTTGGCGAAAATAATTTTTCGCCAAAGTGGGAAAAAAATTATAATGAAAGTCCCGGATGGCGAAATTTTTGTTACATATGGCGAGAATTAAAAACTCATAAAAGCACCTTTGGTGAAATATAAATTTTGCATTTAATCATGTCAAACGCCTCAAAATAAAACAATTGCATAAATAAACTATTAAATAATTCAAATTCCAGAAAATTAGGACTTCTAATCTGGAGAGCTTCTGGCAAGTTTGGATAATCAAGTTACAAATTTTTCATTATTAGCTCGAGTCCTATACTTACTCATTACTTCGCGAAAAAAGTGATCCAATCTCCTATATTTTTTTATTTTGTAACTTGGGTAGGACAGTACCGTTATCAATTTTATAAAGAATATTATCAATAGCATTTTGCTCGCGCTGTAAACAATACATAAATTTCCAGATGGGTGGTTTATGAATCCTAATTCTTTTCTGGAACTTATTATTTACATCCGTAAATCGAAGTTTCAAGGAACACCTCAAAGTCTAATATAATTTGGAAAGGATTATGAGTTTTTGACATGGTCTTTTATATATAAACTCAAAGTTTGATAACATTCCTTTGGAATACGTGGAATTCCTTTGGATAACGGTCTCATTCAAATACATTAAGATATGAAAATAAAGAAAATAGGTAAATTTTTGTAGTATTATCTTTATGATTTAACATACCCATAAAATCTTCATTTTTGCCAAATGTTACATTTTTTCGCCAAAAGGTACTTTGAAACCCTTGTTCTAAGAGATTCTACGGTTCGAAAACAATACAAACAACCAAATCTAAGAGGTTATCTGTCAGAGTTTGTTTAAAAAAGTTCAGAAAAATTTAAGAACCTTTCTCTATATTTTTTTGAACAGTAACCAGTAATTTTGAGAAATTTAAAAGATTATAGATAAATTCACGAGAGTTTTTTTTAATTGTAAAATTAACTGTACACTTAATAGTTGTGGACTTGTTGCTGACTAATTGGAACCTTATTATAAAAAGTGGCAAAACCAACGAAATAAATAAAATCTGACGTGTGTGTAACATATGCAAAATTGAAACAAAATAACTCCAAATTTGCAATTATATCAATTATGTCACCAGGAAAGTGCGCGTAGTTTTATTTGTCAATAACAATGCCCAAGTTTACACATTTACTAAATTAGATGTGAATCGCCTGAAAATTTCTCATGTACGAAATTGAAATTTTAAAAACTTTCTAGCTTCAATTACATCAGATTAATTACCAGAAACATTGAAAAAAAATTGTTTAAGTCAAAAATTGAACTTCATCGTCACATTCTAATCGTATTAACCTGTCATAATTGGAAATTTTATAGATTTTTCGCAGATTACCAGATTCAGCTTCACCAGATTAATTACTAGATATATACACCTAAAATATTTTGTAAAATTCAAAACTGAGCGCCATCCTAATCGTATCTGGGAGGAGTTCTGCCCCGCCATGAAGTCATTGGAGGCGAGGCACTGGTACATCCCGACGTCGTCGGGCTGAACACGCACCAATTTAAAGACTTCGCGCGGCCCCACTTGGAATCTGGTGGAGGAGCTGGGCCCGTTTTCCAGCTCGGCGAGGGGCACGCCGTCCTTGAGCCAAACGAGGGAATGGATCGTCGAACCGGAAACGAGACATCGGAGCGAAGCGGACCGTCCCACGCCCACAATTTACGTCGGAGGAGATATTTGCACGCGGAGAGGAACTGCAAAAAAATCAATTTGTTACAAAATTTTTGTCAACAAGTTTGTAAGGTTTATCAAATTTTGTTAAAAAATTCAAAATTTCCATTTATGCGATAAGTTAAATTTGTATTGTTTGTAATAAGGATTAGTTGTTGGGAATTTTGTAAAATTTGCAAATTTATAAATGTTATAAATTTAATGTTATAAATTTAGTCCATTTAACAAACAACACTATTTTTCTACGACGTTGCAAAAAAGTATGACATTATCCCAACCGGACTACTACTCAAAGATTTCTCCATAAGGTTCGGACCTCATGATAAGATCCAAAGTTTTCAAAAACGAACTGAGTCAAACTTATTAAACTGTCTTATCAATGTAAACTACACCAAGCAAAATAAAATTCAATCAGAAATGAAGAAATTAAGAACAATCATTCGAGAGTCAATCCCTACATTATGGAACTGGCTATGCAACTTAATGAACAATATGAGAAACTCCCTTCATCTGAAAATTTCCAGCACGCAGAAAAATAAGTTCAATAGACTTATGGAGAAAAGAGCCGAAAATGTCTGTACCACAGCATATCAAAATAATAAAGATTTACTCCAGAAACCAACAATTAAAAACTTGTCATCCCGGCCTCTTTCTGCATTGGAAGAAAAATTACTCAACCTAGGACTGAACTTTTCTCTTCCCATAAAAAATGTTGGAAACACTATGATTGACACTGCAGCGACCCTGGAACTTCGAATGATGGATATGGAACTGACAGATAATGACAAAAACAAAATCAGAACCGGAGTAGCAAGAATAATGGCCAAACACATTAAAAAAGAACAAATCCAACAAAGATGGGAAAAGTGGATAAATAATTCAATCAGATCCTTACTTCAAGACACGACAATATGTATGACTAAAGCGGACAAAGGAAATTGCGTGGTCATCATGGACAGAGAAACGTATAGAGAAAAAATGGCTGAAATGATCATGTCTGGTCCATACACCATGCTAAACCATGACCCAACCCCACTTCATGCGAAAAACGTTGCAGAAAAGTGTCAAATCTTGAAAGAAAATGAGATCCTGCCCGAAAATATTTTACCACAATTAATAGAAAAGAATCCTCGAGCTCCAATAATTTATGGTGCTCCCAAAATCCACAAGTGCAACATCCCGTTAAGACCAATTGTGGATTACAGATGCTCTCCAACATATAAATTGTCCAAATATTTAGCAAATATTCTAACTCCAGTCGCCTCAAAACATGAATTCTCAATCAAAAACTCTACTGAACTCGTCAAGGATCTAAAGAAATTAAAATCAAGACCAGGTGACATCAAAGTTTCTTTCGATGTTACCTCTCTCTTCACAATGGTCCCAATACCAGAGACTATAGATTACATCAAAGAAAGATTGGAATCATATCCACAACTCGCAGAATTAACAAAACTGTCCGTGGAAGATATCATATCACTCCTAAGATTATGTACATTCGCTTCATATTTCCATTTAGAAGAGAAATATTACAAACAAAACCATGGGACGGCGATGGGGTCTCCTCTTTCCCCCGTGATGGCAGAGTTTTTCCTTCAAACCCTGGAATTAACACTTATCAGAAGCAACCCCCACATCTACTTTTGGAGACGCTTTGTGGATGACATATTGTGTATAATCAGACGAAGGAGAAAAGACCAAATATTACAAATGATCAACAATTTTCATCCATCCATCCAATTCACAATGGAGGAAGAAATTGATGAAAGAATACCATTCCTTGACATTTTAATTTATCCTAAAAATGACTTTTCTTTAGGCCATTACATTTACAGAAAACCAACTCAAACATCCCGATATCTCAATTTCCGGTCATTCCACCCTCGTGCTCACAAGATTGGTGTCATCGACACGCTACTTACCAGAGCCATCCAACTTTCAGACGTGGAACACCTTGATGATGAAATCAAACTTACCAAAATCATACTAGAGAAAAATGATTATCCTTCATCTCTTATTAATAATCGTCTGACCAGGGTGCGGATAAAATGTCAACAAGATCAACGGGAAAAAACGGTTGACATACAGAAAAGGATCATTCTTCCGGAAAATTCAGTTCATGAGCTTACTTTCCCTCCATAAAAGAAGTGAAAGTTACAAAATTAACCGTCACAAAGAAATTAAGGAATGATTGGGAATTTAAACACAGTACGAATTTCTCGGAAATTTCTTTCCACTTGTTTTCTTAATTTCCTCAAATTATTTTGCACATGTAATTTTTTTAATGTGTGTATGTGAAATATCTGTAATTACTTCCAATCGTTATAAATAAACCCGAAAAGATCGTATTGCTTAGGTGAGTCTTGTGGTGCAATTAAAAGTAGAAAAATAAATTTATCATGCGGTGAAAATTATGGTGCATTGTTGCATCACCGATCTTGATGCCCCTCTTTTATACGTTGATACAACCATGTCAGTATTATGCAGTTTCAATTGATTTATCAATCAACTGTTATTCGAGTTAAGCCTGCCTGGGACGCAGGCAAAAAAATAATTTGTTAACAATGCTGTTAAGGGCTCATTTTTGGACAGAATGGAAAATGGATGTGTAATTCTGTGGTGAAATCTATTCCGCACATATCTATATCCAGGAGCGAGCAGGATGCATTGTGAGTTTGGGTTACAATAAGTTCTGAGGACTTAGAACACACTAACAATGCAAGTCTTTTACGTGTACAACTCAGATCCGGTTGGGAGCAATTTTATTTTGTTCGCCACAAAAAATAAGCATACCCGTATTTTTTCATTTTTCATAATGCGCTAATTTGAGCGCGGGGCGCGAATTTTAAAACATTTTTCAGTCAAAACCTCGGTTTTTAAAAATTCTGTAAATTTTCTAATTTTGACGCGAATCCAAAAATTCGAAAACATGTGTCTTCAGAATGACTTACTTGACTAATAAAAAATCCACATGCATTATTTTTTGAAAAATTAAAAATTTGAAAGAGTTTATAATTTTAATGAATTTCAAAAACTTGCAAAAAATTTTGAAAATCAAATTTCGAGACAATTGGATTGTTCATAAGTCAGGTAAGTCATTCTGAAGAGACATGTTTTCGAATTTTTGGATTCGTGTCAAAATTAGAAAATTTACAGAATTTTTAAAACCCGAGGTTTTGGCTGAAAAATGTTTTAAAATTCGCGCCCCGCGCTCAAATTAGCGCATTATAAAAAATGAAAAAATACGGGTATGCTTATTTTTTGTGGCGAACAAAATAAAATTGGTCCCAACCGGATCTGAGTTGTACACGTAAAAGACTTGCATTGTAAGAAATTTGTGGGAACTAGAAAAGAAGGTGAGAGGGTAATTTCTATTAATTTTTCGAAGTAACTAAAAATTTAAAAATTATTTACGAAATAGACTTTTGAAATTTATAACTTTTTGAACCTTTTTGAACCTTGCTGTTTTGAAATCTCAAAACTTTTCTAACGTACTAAAAAATTAAAGAAAACGATCAAACATGTACTATCTAAAATTTCGTGAGGATTTGGTATTGCCAGAAGTCTTAAAATTGACCAAAAATTGAAAACATTTAAATTTGAGGTATCTTTGCGAAATTGCGAAACATTTCCTTTAGAATTTTACTCTCATTTCCTTCAGTTTGGCCTAGAGCTGTGCACGGGCCCGATTTTTAAAAACCCAGCCCGCCCAGAACCCTACTGGAAAAAACCCGGCCCGCCCGGCCCTACTGGGTTTTTCTGGAAAAAAAGCCCGGCCCGCCCAAAACCCTACTGGAAAAAGCCCAGCCCGCCCGGCCCTATAGGGCTTTTCTGAAAAAAAGCCCGGCCCGCCCAAAACCCTATAGGGTAGGGCTTTTTTAGGGTAAACCCACCCATGTGCAGTTCTGCACGTATTTATCCTAAAAAACCAGCACTTGCTAAGGCTTTCGGAGACTCGATTAGACATGTTCACTAGGTATTAATAAAAATGCAATGGTGGACAAGTCCAATGCTTATTATTATCAATATTTGCTAAATTTGTGTTATTTTAGTTTAAACAAAAATCGAGTTAAGCCCTTGTATTTAATAGAACTGTATTTATAATTTGGTCTTAATCTCACTGATGTGATTTACAGTTGAGATTTATTTATTCATGAAATTGATTCGTGTAATGAAACAGCCAACCAGTGAAAACAAGTCCGTATCATTACAGATAAACAATTCCGCTTTAGCTGAGGCTATATAAAACTACAAAGTTTTGTTTCAAATTGCCATATTGTACTTTATCACTAGGGTAAATTAAAAAGCCCGAAGCCCTACAAAAAGGCCGGCCCGCCCAAAACCCTACTGGAAAAAGCCCGACCCGCCCGGCCCGACTGGATTTTCCTGGGCAAAAAACCGCCCAAAACCCTATAGGGTAGGGTAGGGTAGGGTTTTTTTTAGGGTAAACCCGGCCCTACGCACAGCTCTAGTTTGGCCGATATTGTTTTAAACAAACTTACAACGTTAAGATAAAAAGGGTGAAAGTTTGCAATAATTGAAAAACTTTAGAAAATATGTGAAAAGACGATTTTTTAGTTGCTGAACGTAATTTACCCAGATCAAAAAACCTTCAGCCATATATTTTACATACCGTCATATTTAGTCATAATTCAAAAAAAAATTTCGTAAATGCAACAGGCTCAGAAATGTTTTACGAACTTACTATTATTTACGGGCATGCAATTTATTTAATGCAAAGTAATCTTGTAAGTTCAAGGACTTCTCTCTTCGTGGTACAGATAAATTACTAATTTGTTTACATTCAATGATGTAAACTGTCAAAAATAATTATATCATGAATGTACACAGTGTGAGTTATCTAAAATAATATTTCTAAGCGCTAAATTTTTACTGGGTTGGGGTTTTGGGGTCTTACTGGGTTGGGGTTTTACTATGTTAAAGGGGTTTTACTGGGTTTTACGTTTTACTCGGGTTTTACTAAGTTTTATCTAAAATTCAAATAGATAAATCAATAGAATCAGTTTGCAGATGCATATCTAACTCGAATTAAGTACTCCGATCAATATTCAGTAAATTTCTCTATTTATTTCGAATTTTTGCTTATTATCCAAAAATCATAATTTACAGCTTAACTTGGAGTTTGATCAAATTCGTATTTTTTTTGTGTTCCTGGCATTTTGAATTGAAGTTTTTTGATAAATCTTGATAAAATTCATTAATTTAACAAATTGACGTAACATTGTAAGTTTTATTACTTCACTCCAAACATTGAGTAAAACCCAGTAAAACCCCGGGGTAGTTGTTTTCAGAGTAAAACCTTGGGTTTTTCCGAACCCTGGTTGAACTCAATTGTTCGTTTTACTTCGTAACTGTTCCTTTGTCATCTATCCAATCATGTAGCGTTAAATAGGGTGACCATCCGTCCCGGTTTAGCCGGGACATGTCCCGCTTTTCAACCCCTGTCCCGGCGTCCCGAAAATGTCCCGGTTTTGATAAAGTGTCCCGGTTTTGAAATTGTAGAGAAAAGTTAAATTATTTAACTTTTTCGCCAAAATTTTGATGAAAAAGTACATTATAGTACATAAATACTAGTAACATGCATGTAATATTTACTTAATTTCCTTTCCTGGCTCATTCTCAAAATTCGGTGTTATTTGAATCGCCAGGCACTAGATAAGATGGAAATTTTTTTCGCCAAGCACTAGATATTATGGCAAAATTTTACGCCAAGCACTAGATATTATGGCAAAATTTTACGCCAAGCACTAGATATTATGGCAAAATTTTACGCCAAGCACTAGATATTATGGCAAAATTTTACGCCAAGCACTAGATATTATGGCAAAATTTTCGCCAAGGACTAGATATTATGGAAAACATTTTTTGCCAAAAAATGTCCCGGTTTTAGTCAGGACAAATATGGTCACCCTGGATTGTTAATTAAATAAATTAAATAATTTAATGTAATTTTAAGTAATTTTAAATATTTTTAAACCGTTTCACAAGATTTTAATATTAAATATATATTATATTGCTTTCACTAACTAATCATGGCACTAACGAAACCAGCTCAATATCTTAACTAAATTCTTTATAATTATGAATTTTATGTACTCTATGGGCAGATTTTGCCCGAAAGGGTTTTATTAAATTAATAAATCAATCAATCAATCAATCAAATATGGTCACCCTAGCGTTAAATAAGTAGAAGATAATAAAATATGTCGTCCAACTCATTCAACGTTTATAAACAGGGACGTTTAAATAAATTTACAATTAATTCTTCGTTTATTCTTCGTAACCTGTGTAAACTTGTAGTTAAATTTCTGCTCAAGCAGTTTACAAATATTCCGGTGAAATTGTGTCAATATGGTTAAACAAGAAATACAAACATTAATGTGGAGGAACAATTCTTCCAACCAGATCGATAATTAATTTTGTTACGGTAATAAAAGAATTACATCTTTGAAACCATGTAACGTTAATTTAATGATAAGAAGGAATTATATCTTTGTAACTATGTATGTAACGTTAAACAAAAAAAACTGTCAAGCAACTATTACAAAATTATTTATTGCGGGGAATATGGAGGTTAATTGCAAATATTGATCAACTAAATTTTTCGCATAAAAATACACACAATTTAGCTGGCAAATTTATTTATCACCTAAATCTATTGTTGTGTTTATTCTAGTGACGAGTTTCATTTATTACACAATTTCACACGCATTTTTTCGTGAAAATAAACCGTTAATAACGTTTATATCTCTCGTTGGTTCACACTAAATAAAGTTGTGCACAACAGGTTGAGTAAAACCGAATTGATGAATTTTTATCCAACCTTGAGTAAACTTTGCTCAATCATAAAACAAAAATTATCCAATGAGGTTGCATGAGTCGATATTTACACAACGTTGTAAATTTTGTAATCATATATTGTGTAAATTGGATTTTAAACAGCATAGATTAAAATTGTCGCAATTGTTGTATAATTTTTATACAACTAATTGCAAAAAATTCATCAACCTGAAAGTTGAGAATTTTGTGACACTTAGGAATATTTTTTCCACACGAGTTGAGTAAATTTCCCACAACAGTTGTATTGAGATTAACCAACCATTTGTGAGAATCAAAATGACGCTGCCCGGCAAGGTTAAATTTCTCATGCCCAGTCACAATCCAGCTCAGTTTCGTGACTTCTTCAAAAGTATTTTAAAATTGGATTTTAAAAAAATGACGGAGCTGTTGGAATCGGTCCTTCAGACTGTTGGACTTGAAGGACTGTTGGTTACATTTAAAGGTAAGGGGTTCTATTTATTTGAGCCAACTTTATTAATTTTATTATTATTTGTTTGTTGAAATTGTTTATTAAAATATTGAATATTTTAATATCATTATAGAAAACGACTTTGACGATGACTTTCTTCGTCAACTTCCTGACTGCGTTGCTGGTTCACTGGAGGATCATCTGTTTGCCAGCCTGATTCCGTCAATTGGACATCGACTAAAAATAATTGCTGGCATTAAGAAGGTTGGTTTGTTGGACGAAGAAAATGAGAATTTGTATAGGTGTAGTTTGTGTAATAATTCATTAAAGTCCTTAAACTTATACTGCCATAATGTTGTAATTAGTGTTTAAATTTTATCTAAATAAAAATTTACTCTTATTATTTTGAAACGAACCAGAGGATAATTATTCTAAATAAATGCGTGAAAAATGCTCATAAATTATGAACACTTTCATCAACTGCTGGGAAAATATTTTTCAAAAATTTAATAAAATTTATTCTATAATTAGGCAAAATTTATTTAATTGAAGAGTTATTTTTACTCAACTAAGGTGTAGGATTAAATTACCCCATTTTTCATTTCACTAACTAGTTGAGTAAAATTTACTCAACTATTGTGTGAACGGATTAATCAACCTGTGAGTGAGATTTATGCACAATAGTTGTGTCATCGCATTTTGGCATCAACAGTTGAATAAAATCTGATCAAGGTTGGGTAAATTTTCACCATATTTCTTTAGCGTGAACGAAATGAAAATTAAATTTTATGAAAACGTTCTTTTGTGTTGTTTGTTTTTAGAGGCTCTTTTATTTTACTTAGGACGCTCGTTGATACTGTTGAAGAGGCTATAATGCAATGCAACAAGCTAAACTCGTGGATGTACAGAAATAAATACGTGTTAAAAGGTTAGAATTCTGGATAATGTACAGAAAATTTCTAAAAGTTTACGGTTTACGAATATAGAGTAAATTCACGCAAAAATAAATTCGCAAATTTTATAAAATAATTTTACAAACTTTAACAAAATAAAAAGACGCAGTTGATCTGAAATTGCAAAATAGCAGAAATTCATCTCACCAAAACTGTGCAAATCGTAATATAGGAAATTTTGTACATGAAATTTGCAATTAATTTGAAATAGTGTCACTTTTGAATCGAAACGCTTATCTCAAAAATGTTGTATATATATTCAAAACTAGACCTCAAGCCAAATTTGGTTCGCTTAAAATAATTTCGAAGCAAAATTGTCTCGGATTACTAAATAAAATGGTAAAGCCAGATAACATAATTGAGGGTATATCGGAATTTTGTGGGAGTTAGGCACCGTTTTAGTAATTACAAGTATTTTAAGTGATGAAATACGTTTCTGTAGATTCATTATTTGGACCCCATTTAATTAATTTATGTGTAAATTATTTTACAAAATTCTACAAAATTAAGACCCTGCACACTCTCAGCAAAATTGCCACCAAAATCGTCTCCTCGTGTAGGTACTATGCAACTCTACCGTAGGGTGATAATATACCTCCGCCTGTTGACAAATATGTTTTGTCTCCCGAGCGGAGGTAAATAGTATTATCACCTGTTTGGATATAATTTGTTACTCCCGGTGACAATTTATGCAACATGGAAGTAACTTGTGTCTCTGAATGGAAATAATTTACCTACATATGGTGATAATATGAGAGATAAGTTATCTCCATCCTGCGCACATATTTATCTCCTTGCGGTACTAGATTAGAACCCTGGGGAAGCAAACATAGTTTATAAAATATGTATTTATTTACTTAAATAAGATTTGGTTAGAGATTAAATTTCTTCGCATGTCTCTACATACTACGTACATACACTTAAAAATATAAAAATTAAATTGTGCAGGCTTATATATATATGTACATACTTATATTACTTATAATGTTAGTGAAAATTGATCCTCGTACTAGCTGGCTCGCTGCTGAAGATTTACGTTATCTGAAAATCAAATAAAATTAAAAATATTATCCTGCAGTACTCAAACTAAAAAAAAATCGCAGATATACAAATAAAATAAATAAAAATGAAGTGAGGGCCCACCTGTCACCTGTTTATAATTTGGCATTTCGATCATTTCTTTGAATTTGACGCTGGTTATGAATTCAAATTAGACCAACTGGTCTAATTACGGCCAACAGAAATGAAGCGTCAACTGTATAAATTTTAAAATCACACTCAAAGAGAAATTAAACTAATTACTACTACTTTAAATGGAGTTTTATCTTACCATAAAAACGTCTTCCACGAAGAGTTCCGTGGAACACGCAACGTTAGAGATGAAATGTTATTGCAGTAAAATTGCGAAAATATCTTCATCTCAATCTGCGCCAAATTCATCTTTGAACGAAATTTGCGCATCCGGATCTACAAAAAACTTGTTTTAGTGTAAATATTTATAGGACAAAAAACAATAAAATTACAGCAAAAGCATAATATGAACAGTGAATTAAAATTATTTACCTGAAATGTAGGGTAATCCATAACTTGAACCTCTAATTACTAATTTTTTCCTCTAGTAAGATGCAAAACTCGAACAATTTTCTTTATTCTGCCAGGTGCGAGAGAGAAACGTTTGTGAGAGAAAACTTAACTGCCACTAAACTTTAGTGACTAAAGTTTGCGCTGGGCTTTAAGGAGAAAAATTGTCACCTATTGGAAATGATTTTGGAGACGAAATTATTTCCTCGAAGGAAATAAATTATTTCCGGATAGGATATACTGTTTGTCACTTCCAATGTTGACAATTTTGGTGACAAATTTATTACCTAATGAGAGACAGAGGTTGTTACCTTGTCAGGGTAGTAAAAATGGTAATAATTTTGCTTCTAAATTATTGAGAGTGCATGGTCTTGTAAGAGGAACATGAATTTGTTGTTTTCCCCCATAATTTTATAAATTTATGGCAACGATTGTAAATTTATGGGTCATGAATATTCGCGTGATTACAGTTATTTAGTGGATGAAATGATATTTGCTAAGTTGAAAATTTTACAAACATATCTTATAAGATTTACCATGTACGAGTGTTTATTGCCCTGCTTTTTGTAATTTTTAAAATGTATGTAAATTTATAATAAAAACTTTATTTAATACTCGCATGCCGGAATATTTGGTAGATAAAATAAAATACTGTACAAAATAATATACTGATCTTGTAAGTTTTGTTGTTGTTATTTGGTAATTTTTGCGAATTTTCCAAATACGTGACAAATATTCACGTGTCAAAATATTCGGTGGAGAAAATAAAACTTGGCGAAATATATTTCGCACATTTCCTCCCTAATAAACCCAGGTCCTGGTCGTGTCCAAAATAAGGCGAATTTTTATCTCATAAAATTGAATGCTGCTCCTTAAAAAACCCTCTCATCTTTCCTATTGTATATCTCTCACCAAAAACGGTGTGGCTGGTTTAGAGCCACGTCGTCATCTTAATGCTAAACAATGGGTCGGCATGAATAAGGAACGTGGTGGGAGAAAGGCATCGAAAAAAAGCTGGTGAAGAAAAACAATGGCGAAATGAAGAGGAACAAAAGCTCGGATGAGATTCATAAATGAAATGAACACATAATCCTCCACAGTCGACTTTATCGTTATCTCTGCCGCATTTCAATGGTTTTTGGGTGGAGTCGGGGAAACATTGAACACTTTATTTATGAAGGGTGTTCACGCTAAATTTGTAAACTCTGTAGAAAAGAATGGGCAATGTTGTTTTTGGTTAAATGCGTTTTATGAAATTCAAAAATTTTGTAATTAAAAATTGCTACAGTTTACAGCCGAGTACAAAAAGTACGAAAAGTTTAAATTAAATGTTCTTCTTGAGGTTAGATAATGATTTTTGAAATTTGCAAATTATGGGAATGTAATGCAAGCCTTGTGTTCATACATGTTTCCCAATTAAATATTTATTGTACATAAATAAATAACTCTAAATACGTGTTGATTTCAACATTTAGCAAAAAAACGAGATGCAATTTCTTGCAAAAACTATTTTGCACGCTGCCTTGCAATATAGAACTTGCAAATTTTGAACTCTAATTAAGGATTGTTCATCATGATACAGCGTATGCAATTGTACGTTGCAATTGAGGAATTTCTTGCAAATCAATTTTGACATTTTCCACATCAATTATAAAATTAATTAAAATTCTAATTATCATGTTTGGATTAAAGGTCTCATAAAAAATCCGTAGTTCATTCCTATCCAAAAGGATTAATGATATTAGTACTTTGAAAGAAATTTGAATAACTGAAGCGGTGGGTTTATATTAGTGTGAAGTTAGCCTATCCTATAGGATAGGATGATGGTTGAAATAGCCTCCTAAATGGATGAAGTTACCCCTATCACCGATTTTATGCTATTTTGGGCTATAAGCGCTACAAATACATGAAAATCATGGGAATTAGTTTAAACTTGTTAAAATACAAGAATTAACATAAAAAATCAATTTTTCGACCAATAAATTCAAAAAACACCAAAAATTTTATATATCTATTTCATCTTTTTGCCAGCATAATTAGGTACTTTTATGTTAAATTTTAAATTTATTAGTCTCATTCAGCACTATTATACTACATTAACATCAACATACGTGCTAAGCCATATTCTTGACGCCAAATTTCGACATTTCAATTTTTACAATTTGGCCGACATCCGAGTCGATTTGCTCGAAAACTGGTCGCGATACCTGTCAAGTTAGTAATTTTTATTTATCCCTATTCTGACCTTATAAGGTCACGGCACCACCCGTTAAGCATGCGCTAACAGAATAAGAAAGTATTTCGACTTTGAAACTGGCTAATCTGACTTAAAAAGTTGCATTTTGGCCGACTTTGGAGTTGATTTGGCCAAAAATGAACTCCGATACCCCCAAAGGTAGTAATTTTTCTTCAGTCTACCCTGACCTTAGAAGGTCCTGGCGCCATCCGTTAAGCATGCACCGTCCAAATAAAAAAGTTTTTGGACTTTAAAGTTGGTCAATCTGACTCAAAAAGTTGCATTTTGGCCGACTTTGGAGTCGATTAGCTCGAAAATGAACTCCGATACCCCCAAAGGTAGTAATTTTTCTTCAATCTACCCTGACCTTAGAAGGTATTTCGACTTTGAAACTGGCTAATCTGACTCAAAAAGTTGCATTTTGGCCGACTTTGGAGTTGATTTGCTTGAAAATGAACTCCGATACCCCCAGTAATTTTTCTTCAATCTACCCTGACCGTAGAAGGTCCTGGCGCCATCCGTTAAGCATGCACCGTCCAAATAAAAAAGTTTTTGGACTTTAAACTTGGTCAATCTGACTCAAAAAGTTGCATTTTGGCCGACTTTGGAGTCGATTAGCTCGAAAATGAACTCCGATACCCCCAAAATTTTTCTTCAATCTACCCTGACCTTAGAAGGTCCTGGCGCCATCCGTTAAGAATGCACCGTCCAAATAAAAAAGTTTTTGGACTTTAAACTTGGTCAATCTGACTCAAAAAGTTGCATTTTGACCGACTTTGGAGTTGATTTGCTCGAAAATGAACTCCGATACCTCCCAAGGTAGTAATTTTTCTTCAATCTGCCCTGCCCATAGAAGGTCACGACACCACCCACTAACCATGCATCGACGGAATATGTATAATTTTTAATATCGAAATTACCTAAACGCAATGACTAATGTACCGTGTAAACATATATAATGCATACGTGTGTATGTACGTATGTACGATTTTTCTTAGTTGAGGCAAAATAACCAAATGCCACCCTCACGAAACCAAGGTTCCATGATGACGGCAAAGCCTGAGCATGCCTTTAAGTCCGGCCTGAAACTTATACCAACGCTACAACTCGAACGGTTGCATTTATTTAAGAATTGTTGAAATTAAAAAATCAGGCAATTAAAAAATTTTGTGTCTTTTCAATTTTCGTCTGGCAAAACTCTAGTGTTATAAGAATTTTAGGACCTATTTAACTTTAAAATGAACCTGAAATTAAATTTTGCCATAATGATATTTTGCCCGGAATTGATTTTATTGTATGAGTACTGACCACGCATCATTTGAGACACATCCGAGCCAAATCGTTTGAAAAAGGAGAAACTTTTGATGATGGTATCTTCACCCTTTTACGCTGCTTGAAACGCATATCATAATTGAAAATTGCTCGTCGCTAAAGGTAACCAATAAAAAAATGCCTACCCAAAACCCAGAAAACGGAGGTAAATATATTTATAAAACAGAACTTTTCGGTGATTATTCGACCAATATAAGAGGATTGAGCAAATTTTAAGATTTAATATTTCCAAGTTTTGCCTGAACGTTGCCCCAAAATGATTTTGCACGTAAACAAATGGCTATGGTGAGGCAGAAATGTGTAATATTAAATCTACTCCATGCTCTGTTTTTAGTCCCATCCGCACCATAGACCGTTTTGTGAATGTAGTTTTATTTTTGCTGGAAAACAAACGTATATGAAAGTACATAAACATGTTTTTTTCTATTAATTGTAGCCTTAAGAAAATGCATGAAACTGCAAGAAAATGTAAGCTGTAAATAATCTGGTAATAAACATTACCAAAAGGCACAAGCATATGACTCTAGTAAATTGGTAAAGATAAGTTGTACCGTGTATTAATGGCTTGGTAATAAAGTTTTACCATCATGGCAACGAATTTTTAGTACCTCGTAAAACGTTATTACCAAATTTATTACCATTAGCTGTGAATAGCATAGTATTTATTATGATAAGTTTGGTTTAATTGAATGTGGTCTATTACCAGAAACTAAGCACGAGCTAAAATGATAAATTCACCAATCAGGATCTACATATGTGGCATTGCAAGGTTTTATTTTGTAAATAAAAAGCGATTGGGTGTACGTAAACATTAAAAGTTTAATTATATGCTGCATTTGTGTTAAAAACTCGAGTACGATTGGTTCGTCTTAAAAAATATGTTAGCGTACATATGTGTACGTTCCAACCATGCACGTATGTAGTCATAGAACATAGCATAATTTAGTAACTGATCTTCCATACCAATTTTAATCGTTTAATGAAAAAAAAGAACGAAAAGGGCAAAAAAGGCGCAAGTTATTAACGATTTGTGAAATATTCATATGGTTAATATATTCATATTTATTATTCATTATTTAATGAATAAAAAAACAGATTTTCATAACAAATTTTGATGACAAGCATCAATACAAATTTGTAAATTCCATAAGTTTCACAAAGATTAAAATTTAATATTTCGACTTGTGAAGTTTATACTCTCTTCGTAATGACGTGATATGGTTTAGGGCTTAAAATGGGTCGTGGAGAGCACATTGGTCGAGTCTCTAAA